CTGGAAGCAATTTCAGGAAATTACTTTTGCTTATGAACACAGTCAAAGGAGTGTGCATTCATCTTTTTAACACACAGGATTTAAAAATTAAGAGAAATGTGTATAAAGACATTGCTCATTTCCTGGTATTTACAGAACCATTATCTTTCACCTCATGTCCTCGTCCTCTGTTCTTCTTAGTCTTACAAAACCAAAATAAAATTCACAAGGGATTCCAGTGGACAATATAATTTTGTTTATTTTGTTTAAAAATATATACTGTAAGCTAAAAAAATAGATTATATACATATATATATACATTGGCAAGAAATAGAAAATGGCACTTTTTGTACTAAGAGTAATCACAAGTTATTTGAATATCCCATAGTGTCTGTAGATATTTATTGGCAACAAAACTATCAAGAGCAATGGTTATCACTCACACTAGACTAACATTTTCTTTACATATCTACAATTGTTCTAGGGCATTGCCAGAGAATTTAATGGTCGGTGTCCCACAATAATGTGAAGAATATACTTTGCTACATTCTGTTCCTGGGAATGGTGGGAAATACAACCCTTTGCTCTCTATTTTATTCCCATCTTTTCACAGGAAATCTTTGTATCTATGACACAAACACAACAAAACAGCATAGCTTTATATTCCTGTTTGGTACAGCTGTCCATAGCTGAACAAGCTGCTAGATAATGAAAAATCAGGATCCCTGGATTTAGATGGGAATACTGCATTGCCATCTGAAGTTCTACACAATTGCCTTTGTTATTTAGTAAGTCATTGTCAGCTGGATCACTGACTGAGCCCAGAGATCCTTTAGGAGTAGGTCTTTAGAGTCAGCTCAACACAAGAAAGTTGAGTTGCTCCTTTGAAACTGCTTAGTGTTGGTTTTCCCCACAGCTTAAGTTTACAGAAAGGATTTGTGAAAAACAGTCTTTTTCATGAAAAAATCACCTGATAAACACTTGCCCGCTTCTCCACATTTTCTGTTCTCAGTAGGAAGAAAGATGGCTGGTGCCTTCTCCAATTTTCTTCACTAGACTATTCCACAAAAACACCTCATAACGTGTAGCTTGGTCCTGGCATTCAGCCTGCTGCCCAGAGCCTGACTTGGGGAGTAGCCTTCTACTTACATTTTAAAAGAAACTTCCTTTTCCTTCTCTAAACCTCTGCTATCCAAAAAAAGCAAAAGAAACCTAAGAAACTGAGCCCTTCCCCAAACCGAACTGGAGGGCTGGAACTTCTGGGGGTGAATAATTTGCTTTTTCTCTCCAGCCTTGACCTGTTATTAATTCAGAAATATGTCACTGCACTGTCATTGAATGGCATGAAGCCTCTGCACTGCAAGATGAATGGCCTCCACCGAAAAACCAGCATTTTTAGTATGAGTGACAGGTTTTCATTGCCACTAACCATGGCTGAAGGTGTCTGCCCCACTCAGGTGCTGGCTCAACCAAGGGAACCATGATTCCAGCTTTCATGGGTTGGTGAAAACGTAAAGCAACAGATGCACTCAGAAATTTCATTTGCTCATTTGCTTAAGAAACACCTATTCAGAGGTCAGAAGGATGGAGGAAGGTGGGGGGGGTTTTCTGCTTACAGCTTCAAAGGGAAATGGAACTGGCTGACATAGCTGTTTTCTACACAAAGAAATTAGGAAACCTGGAAACAGAGGGTCATTTAAGGCAAGGACCAGCGGCTGGTATTTTTCCTTGTCTCCTCCCAAGGAGTTGTTAATTGCATCTCACTTTGAAGAAACCCAAGAAAGTATGTGTACAAGCTCATGGGAAAGCTGTTCTCTCTTGACAGGGTGGGAGGAAAAGAGAAAAGGTCAAGAACAGAGCGTGTTTACCTAAGCCATGTGCTCCAAGCTGTATGTTGCTGTTGAGTGCAGCTGCTTTCACTCCGCGCTGGCATTTTGTGGTTTTGAATACTAGACCACAAAATAAAATATGAGGTTTTAATACCTTTTTTTAAAAAATATATCCAGTGTGCGCTGCTAAAGTAAACAGAATTTTGCACGAGTGCACATTTCATTCATATGAGCAGAAGCTTAAAGGGAAAACGGGAGTGCAATTAGCAACCAAAATCAGCAGTCAAAGGCCCTGGAATACAGCACAGCTACAGGCAGATATAAATTTCCTTTTAAAGAAATATGCTTGGAGGACCAGTTGCATAATTCTGCAAGCTAAGGAGAACACTGACTCACTGAGTCAATATTTGCTAAATTTGCTGCGCCAAATTCAACTCTTGTTCAAGACAGAAAAGACTTTCAGAGCAAAGAAAGGGCTTGGCCATGAGAGTTAGAGGCAGCAGCCTCTGGTCCCTGGGTCCTTCTCTTCCTGAGACCATAACCACTGACTTCCTTCTCAGGATGGATTTTCCTTCAGCTTCAAAGACTCTGGGCAGCTTGTCCTTTATATTTGATATTTGGTAGACTTTTGCCACTTGGTAGATTTTTGCCATTTTGCTTCTGGTAGCTTTTCCCACTCTTTTGACTAACATTCATAATAGAGAAATTAAGGACTGAACAACGAAATGTTCTGTTGAAAAAGAGAGCAAACACACATTTACTAAAGAAATTAAGATGTGCAATAAAGGGATGGAAGCACATCTTCAGAGACAGATGTAAGCTGAGTTGCTTAGCTGTTGCAGCCAGGTTAACAAAAGAGGGAAAAAAATGAAAGGAAAAAGTTTAAAAAATTTACTTAACAGGACTTTAAGCAAGGGAACATAGCCTGCTGGTATGCATGAAAAGCAGATATTAGGACAACCTAGTGAACCTGAAAGATTTTCTTTGTGATGTCTTCTGGTATTTCAGCTCTGACAGAGCAAAAAATATATTTCCCTGAGGTTTTAATTTGATCTGGTGTATGGCCCCTTGCACCACTACAAAATCCTGTTCAAGTTTCACAGTCTGCTATGAGCAGGGTGTAAGGTGGAAGCAGAAGCAGTCTGGGAAACCTAAAAAAATTCTCAGGGAGTTTGTAGTAGTTCTCAATTTTATATTTCAATATTTGCATGTGTCTTTTTACCTATAAAGATGACGATTAATGTATTTTATATATTTTTGTTACCTAGCAGCATCAAAGAGTAGGACAACCTACTTTCTCACCTTTTGGGGGGCTTCACTACCTGCAGGAGGAAGCACAAGCTGTACTTCAGTGCAGACCAGAAGACTAATTTATATTTTCTCTAGAGGTCTTCTTAAAATTGTGTGGGAAAAGATATAAAGTTGGTGCTGAAACACCTGAAACAACACCTGAAACAACAGGGAGCTTTGGTAATCTGACTCCTTTCCCTCCACCTTTCCTTGACCAGCAATAGCAGACAGTGCTCTGTGGTCTGAATTCCTCTTTGTCTTGCAAACCAAGGGCAAGTCCTCTGAAGCCAGATAAATTGCATGCTAATTTAGTCAATGCCCTAATGCTGGAGGATCTTCTGGTGAATGAATTTACCTATTACTTGGGCAAGTACTCCTTCCTCAGCCTCCTTCTGGATGGGTACTTTGGGAAAACTTAATAGAAGTAGAAAAGAGGAAGGTTAGGGGAAAGGAGAGGGGAAGAAAAATGTCTAAATGTAGTTTTATTTTAGAATCACAAAACCTCCCTTAATAAAAATGAACTAAGACAACAGAGGAAGAGCAGTTTCTGGACTAAAGTGCTGTTTTGTGATATTCCTGAAAGAATTTGGCTTTGTCTTGTCAACCACAAATGATGGCAGAACGCCAATTTTCTTTTCAAGTGGTTGTCATGAGTATTTGCTGATGTTTCTGAATGAATGTTGATCAAAGGACCTCAAAATGGATTTAACCTTTTAGATCTACCACTTTACTAAAAATATATTTAATATGTTAAAAAAATTCGGTTAAAAAATTTGGTCAGCCTGTAAATATTATTCAGCCTGTATTTTCTGTACTTGCAATAATCTACTCAATAATTGAGAGATTTTTACTGATAGCATCTAAGCAGGGTTCTTTTTAGAACATATGACTAGTTATGATTAATTGCTCCATAAATAAATTAATCTAAAAAGCACCCCACTGTTAATATTTTTTGAGAAAATAATAGTCATCTCCCATATCCAGTGAGGTAGAAGAAAGCAATCAACAGATGCAGGTATGAATTGTTTTCAGTCTCCTGTCCCTGTGTACTTATTTAAAAGCAATGGAGAAGGACTACACAAATGATCAGAGGGATGGACAGTGTACATAAAGAAGGCTTCCAGAATTTTCTGGAATTTCCATTCAGCAGAATGTAGAAAAAAATTGCAGAAATATAAACTAACAAAAATACAAAAAGAGACAGAAACCTGTTGAGTTACATCAAGAAATTAATCAAAAACAAACATTTTTGAGATTTTATCTTCTCTCTTCCAGTCTTTAAAATAGATACCAGAAGTTGTTTTGGAAAAGTGCACTATACACCTATTTTTTGAGTATTTGCAGCACACACCTATTTTTCCAGGAATCTTTGAATTCCTGTGTTGTGAGACAATAAGATTAGTTTTGTCCCAGCTGAGGATGAAAGAATCTTAAAGTTTTTTTTGTAGGCTAACCTGCATCCACTGACTTAGAGTTGAGGGATTTGAGCACCAAATATTAAATGTATTAAATATTTAGATTTTAATACTTCTCTGAAAACAACGTAAACCTAGGCCCCACATGCTGAACTCATCTATGAGCAGTTCTGTTTTTAAAACTGAGCTCTGCGTAGAAGTCAGTGCAATCAGAAACAGCTCCTTTTAGAAAGTACCCCATGGAATACAAGTCATTTTTGTTGACCTCATTAGTTTAATCCCCCATTCTTGTCTTACTCAGAAGCCACTAGCATGCTCTGGATATCTGTAGTTGTGAACCATAGGGCTAGGCCAAACATCAACTCAGTTAAAACAAACTTCATTCTGTCATGCTCTACAAGTGTCACTGAAACACAAATGTACACAAATAAACTCTAGACAGGGGTATAGTTTCCTAACAGATTTTCCAAAATCAAACTTTGGCCATCTACTCTTCCTCCATTTTGGAGAAGGCACTTGCCCTTAACACCTCCATGCAGTTCACAAGAATCAGAGCTCCAGTTAACTCTCGCCACTGTTTTGTTACTGGGTTTTTCATTTTATCCAAGGCTGATTGCAGGTCTTGTAAGACGTCCCTGTAACCATCTCCATAATGGGCAGCCCAAGTGTAGAGAAAGTCATATGCAGGTTTCCACATCATCTGAAAATAAAGGGGGCAAAAAAGATTTAGTGGCAGAAATTTATTTATAAAAAAAAAAATAGCTTAATAGTTGAAAAGTCATAAAAAAGAGAAAATAAGTTTTTAATCACTAGACATGCTGAAATGCTTTATAAAAAGAGGCATGTTGATATAAAAACTCCAGTAATCTCATTTACATTAAGTCCATGAAAGTCTCAAATTCTCAGAGAGGTAAATAATAGATAAAATCTTTATCCAGATGATTATCACCAAGTCAAAATAGATCCTTGTCTGAAACTATAAGTCAAAGAACAAGAGTGGAAGGAAAATACTTTTGATCTTTTGCAATGCATATACCCAGCGACAGTTTCCCTATTTGGCTGTGCTTTTGATGGTTACTGCTCCACTAATCAACATCCTACTGTCCCTCTACTCAGCCTGGAAATTTTAAACACGCTTTTTACCTTTCAGAAATGTTTCCTGACAACAGTGGCAGGAACTTAATCTGGCTACTGCCGTAAAAGACAATAAAAACTGCTTCTTGAAAGACGTCAGCATCACCAGGAAGGCTAAGCTGAATCTCCAACCTTTATTGGATACAGAGGGGAACATTATGGCAAAGGATGAGGGAAAGGTTGATGTACTTAATGCCTTCCTTGCCTCAGGCATAAATGCCCAGACCAGTTGCTCTCTGGGTATCCATTCCGCTGAGCTGGAAAACAAGGATGGGGAGCAGAATGAAGTCTCCTTAATTAATTTAGATTGGATATTAGGAAAAAATTGCTCACTGAAAGGTAGGTCAGGCATTGGAACAGGCTGCCCAAGGAAGTGGTTGAGTCACCATCCCTGGAGGTATTTAAAGGGCACGTTAGGTATTTAGGGACATGGTTTAGTGGTTGATTTGGCAGTGCTGGGTTAACAGTTGATCTAGATAATCTGGTATTATCAGACAGCTGATCTTAGATGTCTTTTGCAACCTTAATGATATTATGAGTCTAACATGATTTATCTGTAAAATCTATTTTAAAAAGGGAGAGAAAGCACCCAAACATTCTAAAACAGGCAAGTCAAAATCTTTTATATTTTTTTTTTAATCAGGACATAAAATTTTAAAAATTTCCTTCAAGAAACAAAGGAAATAAAAAGATTAGTTACCAGTTGTTTTTTGTTTTTCAAACTACAATTTATTTGGTTTATGCCAAACAAATGGAGCAGATCCTTAACAGGTGTAATTTGTCATTGGTCTAATGACATTAGTTAAGTTATAGCAGCATGAATCAGATACCAAGCTGGACTTTTATCTTTCAAAGTGCTGAGTAAATTTGCTCAGTTAACAAACAAAATAATTATTTTCCCAGCTACTGCTTTTCCAAATGTTACTTGGGCCATCAAAATTCTGGTTCCCTCTCCTCATTGGCAATAAAGGTTTTGCAAACAGCAGTTGAGTTAACGGTTGCAGGGATGATGCACAAGTGTACGAAGAAACCCATGACTCTTCTTAGAGGTTCTATCATTCACTGTTTTAACAGGAACATACTTATGCATGGTTATAAATGTATATGGACTGATGACTGTGCATTGATATATATATATATGTATATATATCTATGTGTGTATATATATATATATATATATATATATATATATATATACAAAAGTGATCAGGAAGTTGAGATTTTTTTAGCATATTTTCCTCTTTCATCAAAAAGCCAGTTTTTATTTTATGACTGTGAGGGATAATTCTGAAGGAAATTGGTTATTTCCTCAATATTATCTTATTAATTTACAAACAGTACACGACATAAATCTTTGCTTCATTGCTTTATTTACTTAATCCCTGAAGGAACTGAGTAGGAGAATAATTTCTTTGCTCATAGTTCTGAACTTTTCTCCATATTTTTGGGCTAAGATCTTTCAGCTTGCCCAAGACTGATTCTGTCATTGTTTCTGTAAACATTTCCCTCAACTTCTGCTGCCATACCCAAACAGAAAATAAAAAAGAAACTTACAGCCCCACAGTCTAATTAGTCTATTCTAGTCTAAACTTACTGTCTCACAGTCTGATTAGTCTACTTTGTACCTTGAATTTAAGTAATAAAAAAGTGCCTATGCTTTCAGTGAATTTTCTCATTTTAGGTCTGCAAGAGAGAAAGGTATCATCATTAACCCAAATGAATGCTAACTACTTTTTCCTTTAAGCAAGTCTATCTTAAGTCATAACCATGAGGTTACAGAGGAGAAAAATACATTGGTGGGTGGGAAGAGGGAGATTGATGAATTCTTTCAGGCTTTTTTAGAGAGGCTAAGTTGAAAGTGATTTTTTAATGTCCTCCTGTAAATATTAGATATTCTAACATATTTTAATGAACTAAAGCAAGTCACCACTGTTGTAGTTATGCTGGGACCAGAAAGTTTTTGTATTCTTATTTTTAGCTTGATAGCCAAAGTAGACAACAAGAGAAGCTGGTATATCTTACAAGAGAATCTGGTATCTCCTGAAATTCTGTTACTGGCTATGTATTTTCTGGGTGTCTTTCTTCCTTCTCTTACATTCCTGTTAGACCGGGATATTAAAAGAATGAGGGTACAGTCTTCTGTCTTCGCTAGAATGTGAATAGATGATGAATATGAAAATGTGTTAGGTTTGACTTATGCTGAAGGTCAGTCTGACATTTTCATAAGACAATTGGCTAAAATATCTTAAATACAAACTTTGGTTTTCATCTAATCTCTCGCAACTGTCTTGTTTAGTTTTGTTTTTTTTTAATCTAAGACAAAAGAGAAGAAGAAAAAGGAGAATGTAGAGACCAAAAGCTTTACAAACTGGTCACTATTGATGCACAATTAACTCAGCAATAATGTACACGCTCATCACATTAAACTAATCCTGCAAACACAGCAGTGGTTCTAATGCAGATTCCTCTACACATCCACATACTCTAGTGCAATGTGTGAACTGAATCAACATTCCTGAATTTTATCAAAGCAGCATCTCAGGCAAAATATTAAATCACTGCAGCATCCTGGTCAAGTCTCATCTCAGCTGTGTGCATGAGTTTTCCCTCTTTTCCACTCCCTCTGCTGAGTACACAATATTGATACCTACATCCACTGCAAACTGATTTGGAATTTACTGATGGAAAACGCTTCATAATCTACACACCAATTGTATGTACCTCAAGTTACCTCTGGGATCATCTGCAAGATTTCTCCCACCAAGAAAAATAGGAAGTTTAAAAGCAGAAGCATTTTTCAACCAATCAATCCTCCTGATGATGGAACAAACCTTGATGGGGAATGAACTAATCCTCATAATTCATATAATCTATAATAACTAGTCAAAACTTATTAACCTCCCCCAACTTTGTTGGGTTTCAGGTTTTAAGGCCAACTACTACTATCAACAGAAAAGTTTAGAGGTCAGAAGAAAGCAGTGATGTTTTCTAGAAAATACTGAGATGTAGATTAGATTCAGAGGACATTGGGGGACACATTGTGATCACACAAGACGCCAGTGCTAGAAGCCTTGTGCTTTGAACTCACACCCACATGGACAAACCAATAAGCCAAATATAATCCTTGAGAAATGACACAGAAATACAGCAAAATTCTGATCTTTGCTTGTTGAATTTTCTCTGAAAATATAGTGTACTGTATTATGGGCTTTTAATTATGATGAATTTGACTGCACTATGTTTTGTCAGCAGACATTGTCACTGAAAGGCAGAGAATTCTCTTGGTGGTTTGCCATAAGTATAATGCAAAAAATTCTTGAAAACAAATGAGTAGGGTGTCTGAGGTAGAAGATAGGCTTAATGGAAAATCAAAACCTATTTAAAGTGAACTAAATGTTTATTTATAAATTTTCTCAATATATAAAAATGAATAGCTATGATGCTGGAAAAACAGTTATAAGATTGTTTTATTTCTACTGTCTGTTATCAAAGGGGAAACGCTCCCAAATAAAGTGGAGACCAGCAGAGTTGTATGTTGTTCATGTCAATAATTCCTTCTGTAGAAAGCTGGGGGGTTGTTAGCCAAACACAGAAAGATTAGTAACTAGAACAAAAGTGTAGGAAATCAGGCAAGCCAGTGCCTAACAGTAAAAAATAAAAAACCAAGAGAATAGACATGAGATTGAAAAGGCTGATAATTTTATGAGAAACAACTGGAGAAAGGTGCATCCAGACTTAAGTACCCAGAACAGAAAAAAAATATGCAAAATAGCTCAAAGAGAAAAACTGGATCTGAGAAGGAGGCAGTGATTGCAAACAACAATTATGGAGACAATTTTGTTGAAAAGTGCAGAAGCACATGAGTAAACACATAGAATTTTGATCAAATATTGATTGGGGAGGGAGGGCAGAGCATTCAAAAGGAGTAATAGGTAGTAGTTCATGATTAGAGCAGAAATATCTTGATAGTTATCACCAAACAAGATTCACTGGATTCAGACAGTGGAAATGAGAATATGTTTGGCAGGGAGTAAGAAGAATCAGATACAGGGAAATAAGAAAAGGAAGAAAAAAAATATCTAGAGTAGTTGTGAACCTGTGAATGGGAAATAGCAATTCCTTTGGCACAAAGAGGTGAAAAAGAGGGAATGCAGTCTGGATCATGTATATTACCTGCAATAATCAGATGATGATATAGGCAGAGGGAGAGTCAAGCCTGAATGTAATCTCTCAAGTCAGAAAGATCATTCAACAATGCTCATAAAAAAGGTGTTTTCAGAGTAAAAACCAGTCTGGAACCTAGAAGTCATTGGCCCATAACTCTGGGAAAGAAAAGGAACTGCTGCATGCTTTGGTGTTAGAGGAGAGAAGGGCAGGAAGTAACTTGGTTGCCCAGGCAAAGGTGTGCCAGGGGCAGAGGCTGACCCTCAGCTCAGCCCGACGGACAAGGATCCGTCCACCCCAAGTCTTGTGGCATATCTGACATTGCATGGATGCCATGAGTATTTCTGGTCACCTTGAATGGCACTAGAGATCTAATTAGGCACCTAAATTGTTCCTCAGATGTGTATCCACTAAATTAGATCTGAGAGGATAAATTGACTTTTATACAGAGCTCAAACCTGTATAAGAAAAATGCTTTACAAAGTGGGAAAAAAAAATCATGATCTACCTGAAAAACTATAAACATAAAGCATAGATTTGCCACATTCATACATCAGAAGTAAAACTGGTGTCAGGGCTTCCAGCCTTTTCTCATGCTGCTTAAGCTAAATGATAACAACAGTTACAGTGGCACAGAAAAGTACTAATGATAGAAGTCAGCTTCCTTTTTGTGGAAGTACAGAGTGTGATTAGAAGTGGCTCTTGCAATGACTGTCTGGTCTTCCTCACAGTGTCTGAAATGACAGTAGAGGTGTGAGTAAGGTTAACAAGTGGACAGGACAATAAGAAAGGATTGAACCCAGCCCTGAAGCTCAAGGCAGGGACTGAGACCTTCACTGGAAAGTGCAAAAGGAAAGAAGGCTGCAAAACAAGGAAGAAGGAAGGTTCTTGGCTGTGTTTGTGCATGAGCTGCTACACCAGACCCTTACCTCCAGAGCCACTGCTCCATTTTTCCCCTGGTGGGGCACTTCATAAGCCTCTATTTGCTGCTTTGTGAGTCGGGCTAGCTTCTCCGCAAGCTCTCGCCAGCCTTTGCCAAGCTTGACAGCTGAAGTCAAGATGATGGTGTCCTGGGTAAGACGTGCCACTAATCCCTGGCAATCTATTTTCAAAAGTGCCTGCAACAATGATTTTCATTAGTGATTCTTCACCAGTAATTACAAACAGAACATTCTAATTTAATTTTATAGCACTATTCTGCATTTCTAAAAACAGGACTTTTTTTTAACTTTTGTGTTCTCACAAATACGTGGGTTTTTTTCTACAAAACACTTTCAGAAGAAATCTGTCCACAAGCTTAAGAAAAAAAAACAACCTGGCATTCAGCTGCTTCAGCATTCCAGTATCAAATGGGTCCTGCCAAGCTTACAGAGCCTGAAAGAAAATCATACTTCTCCAAAAAAAATATTTTGGGGAAAAAAAAAAAAAAAAAAAGCAAAGAGCTTCCTAGAAGTATGAAATTAGCTATAAAATTAAGTTAAAGCACTGTTATACTAAGGTGTGGTCCTTCACCCAGGGCTTTATATGGAAAATCACTGATCACTTTGGCCAGCACCTTTTGATTTACTCCTCCCACAGAACTAATAGTTTTTTGGTCATTGAGGAGAAATGCAAACATGAAAATTTTCCCTCCTCCTTGCCAAATAAGCATTTAATAACACTCAAATTAAAATGGTTGAAGGAGCAAAATCTTGAAATATGTTGCATTCTCCTTAGTTTGGATAAGAGCTAATGGGAAAAATAAATGTTGGGCATTTTTCTTCTCAAATTAACACCAAAATATTCCACTGAAACTGTTGAGGTTTTCAGGGAAAGATCAAGAGCAAAATTTTCCTTGTTTTTAGGATACTGATTTCTACTGAAATATCACGCATTTCTGCAGAAATCAGATATACGTGTGATTTAATTTTAAAGTATTAACCAATAAAATCCTCACAGCAAACAATAATACTTCCATAGACAGAGTAGCGAGAAGCTGACTACAGTGTACTGTACAAAATTCCATTAAACTGGAGACAAACTCATTCAGTTTGTGTTTGCTCTGATAAGCAAGAATGGTATAAAACACAAAAGCCTGAGATTTCTTAAAAGAATTAACTGAAAATTCTACCCAAAATTACATGGATGACATCTAGATTTATATCTAGCTCTACAAATACAAGGACCTGCATTGGTACTTCCTAGCAAAAATACATAAATCTCACAAAAATACATGAATCTCACAAAAGAGGACATTGAGCAACCTGGTCTAGTAAAAGGTGTCCTGCTCATGACAGGATGGTTGGAACTAAATTATCTTTAAGGTGCTTTCTGACCCAAGCCATCCTATGATTCTATAAGCTTAATCTAATTATGCCCCACTTTCCCCCTGTTTTGTAATGAACTCTGTTTCACTGTATTCAGCTAAAAGTTTGGACAATTTCACCTTTAGGTCCCCCTCCCCTTTTTGTAAAGAGACATGACGGGCTTTGCTGTACTTCACACGGGCTCAGTTTTATTCCACAAACTTTGATGTGCTCTTAAGAATTTTAAGTGGCCTCTGCTATCAAAACTTTCTGAATCCTGCTGAAATTTCTGTCAACACTTCAAAGGGGATAGACTAGTTATGAGAAGTAAACTCAGTTGAGGTTTACAGTTCAGGCTTTAGGTGAATAGCTACAATGTGATTTTTTAAGCATCCATTTCTGCAATACTTTATTTTCATATAAGAAATTTAGTTACCTCCTGTCCCTTAATAGGTTGGACAATTTTTCTTTCAAAGCCAAGGGGAGTATTAAGTGACCATTAATTAATTTCAAATTAATTTGCAGACAGATCAGTAAGTGAATTAGGATTGTTGATAGTGCAACTTATTACCTGGAAGTAATTAGAATAATCTTTTGACTCCCATTTGGCAGTATGTAGTCACACAGAAGTTGTCCAACGTCTTACAAAGGAGGTCCATGAAAATACATTCTGAAATACTTGCAATATCCTTCTTAGGCCACTACAACATTGACTACGAAGTTGTAAGGTGTGGATAGAAAAAATTGCCCTCAACATTTGGATCAAGATGTCCCTTTTAAATATATGAAGCTAAGCTAGACATTCAACTTAGCATAGACAAAAATCTATGCATATATAGATATAGATATAGACAGATATATAGACATAGATAGATATAGATGATATCTATCTATAACTATGTATGTATAGTGGAATTCCCACAGTATATTAATGTTACTTAATCAACAGGAATGTGACTTTCTCAGGAAAGCAATTTCCCAAGAGAAAAGACAAAACAATTTCAATCGTGACTATTTAAAAATCAAAAAAAGTCATCTTAGTCAACCTACTGAAGGAATACAGTTCCTGGAGCATTAACAGAAGACTTTTCAGGATTAATTGATCAAAGTATTATTCTTTATGAGAGTTTGTGTGCGTTTTCCACCTATTCGTGTCTACAACTTTTAGTGATATATTCAGGTTTATAGAGATCCTGCAAGGTTACAGAATAATGTTTTCTTGTTCCCACATTACTACTGAGTAGTTTCTTGGCAATTCATTCCCAATAAGCCAGTTAGTTCATGCAATACTTACAACAATGAGTTCATAAAGAAATAGTCTTTTTTTTTTGTTAGCATGGCAGTCTTGCTTCATCTTCTTCACCACATGCGCAACTCTTTCTGATTCTTTATCAATATGTGCCTCATTAAAGTCATCCAAAGACATGTGTGAGTATCCCAACACCTCAGCTAAAGCTCTCCAGTCATAAACACTCTCTGATACTGTAGACAGAACTACTGAGTAGATATAAGTCAATTTTTTGAAAGGCAGTGCAATTTGTTCAACAAGATTCCTGGTTGTTAGCTCACTGTCAGCAGTGTCCATAGCTTGTTCTTTGGAAATCACTTTTACATTTTTGCAGTGTACAAGACCAATCTTTTTTCTGAGAACTCCCACATACCACTCTTTCATTTTAGTTTGTCCAATGGCTTTAACTTTATCTTCACCAAGCAGTGCTATTGTGTCTCCTTTAAAATATTCCAGCAAATAGTCGATCTTATTTTGGCGTAACACAGTTTTCAAAGCCACTCCATAAGTATTGACACTCAAAGTTTTGTCTTGAAACTTTGGATATTTTATTGCTGGTATCAAAAGCCATGGTGCAGACTTGATTTCTTTGCGGTTTTGTAGGTGTTTTGGCCTATTAATAATTCCACTTAATTTTGGAGCAGGATCAGGAGTTGTAACGTGGAACTGTGTTACTTGGCTGCTTTTCAAGATTTTAATCTGAACAAGGAAAACAAAGAAATGCATCTCCCTGCATCCAAGCATGGAAAACAGGAATTGTTGGCGCACCATTTCACCAGTTTTCAACTCCTCCTTTTTAATATTTTTGCTTTGATCTTCCATTTTTACTTGAAAGTCTGGATCACAGGATATCAAAGAAATGTTTAGATCTTGCAGTTTTTCAAGCAGGAATGTATGCTTTCCCCACAGCTGAAATACCACAGGAGGCATACTTTTCCCCCCTTTTTTTATATCACAAATCGTGAGTTTTCCTGGAATGTAGTTATGACCAAAGACTGTAAAAACTGCTGTAAAAGATGGATGAATATATTTGGGACCATAAATTCCAACTGAGACTGTTCTATGGACATAGTCCCACACATTAGTTGCTGGAGGCTGGATTTTGCTTGCTTGTACAGCAATTACTGCATACATCACATGACTTAGGTCTGTTAGCTTCACTTGTATGGTATCTTGATAAATATAGCAATTCTCTAACTTCTTAAAAGGTCCTTCTTTGTTGAGACTAAAAAAACACACAATATCACTCATAACTTGGCTGAGTGGATCGCTCTTCACTTTAGCCGCAACTTTCACTTCTAGGAAAATGGCTTCACTCGTGTTGAGGTTGCTCAATGTAAGTTCTATCAGGGGACTTACTGTGCTGGACAGCTCATTGTTGCACGACAATGGAGGGTTAAGGATAGCCTTTAAACCAACTTCTTGGAATTCTCCTGGTGATACATGACCCACAGGGACATGAATGTTGATATCCGAGTCAGGTAGCTGTACTGAACCCCCTTTGTGGTTCAGTTTACAAACTACGTGAATGTCTGTAGCTTGTGTTTGTGCCCATCCAGGGCTGTGGCTCATGGCTTCTAAATCCAGGCAGGACCGGGTGAGCTGTCGGTGACTCAGCCAAGCCATCCTGTAGGCTTCGCGGTCATTTTGAAGCCATGTCATATCAGAAGCTGTAGTTTTTTGAGGCGCTGTCTTGTGAGGATTAAATCTTTGGTTATCAACTATATCCAGGAAGTCAGAGACACTCTTGGATCGTCCAGATCTTCTTACTGAAGTCTTTCTTAGGAGACAATCAATATTCAGCTCGTCACCTGAGGAATCCAAAGAGTCCCTATTGCTAGAAATTTTAGAGAACAAGTAAGGTTTTTCCTTTAAGATAGAAAGACGTTTATTATTTTCATTTCTATTGGAAGCAGCTATGTCATGTACAAAAGGGTTGGATCCCGACAGTTCATTCCAGAAAGGATTAGTCTTGGAAACACCTTGGGCATGTTTGAATACACCAGGCCAGTCAATATCCAAATCCAATTTACTTTCATTGGTATCTGTTTAAAAGAAAAAAAAAAGAAGCATTTCCTAAAGCACAGAGACTTGAGAAATTCCATTCATGTCCAACTGATAGTCTGTTAAACTAAGAGGTGACTAAATTTTCCTCCTCAAATACACATAGATAATTTCTATATATATGTTTCTCCTTCAGGTTTTTAAATGGTATGAATGTTAATTTAATTAAGAATCTTTCTAAATAGAAAGAGTGCTAACAAATTAGCGCTAAATAACAAATTAGTATTGAAGGATGTAAAGCATCTTGTTTGAGGTGTTGATCATTATGAACTTGTATGACTATTAATTGACATTGAGTATGACAAAGTTCCATAAGGTTCAAACCATTATATTCCATTAATCTTTGGCCTCTTACAAAATGCTGTGGATTTCTTTCCTTTATGTCTATCTCTTTGCAAAGATTAAATTACAGTTTCATTTTTCAAACACTGTAGACTATACAGATAAATGCACTATTCAAGATTCCTTTCATGCTAGTGCATGTGCAATAAATTGATAACAGCACTCTTACAATTTATATCTCCATGTGTCTAGAATTAGTTATAATAGCTTTCCACTAGAAAACAATCATTGATATAATTTATGAGACCTTGTACAACTTGATGTTTGGAGAGACATATTTGCGTAACTATTAATTTTCTGAGATTGCATTTAAATAGACAAATACGGGTGTATAACTGATATTTACATATGTTTTCTAGTAAAAATACTCATTATTAGTAGTATTTATTTTGTCTGAAGAAAAGACATCCTTACATTTTATAATAACAGTTCTTCAGAGAAGCTGGTTTACAGTTGATTCCGACTCACCCCTGTTGCAATGGAATACCTGCAACTTTTTATGCTAAGGGTTTCTATTACTTCATTTTGCCATTTTTTCTCTCTACATAGAGGTTATACCATCCCCTCTTTATACATTCTTGCAAAGAGTTTGAATTTTAGAGGGAAAAGTCACTATTCCTATTTTTTTCACCATATCTATAGCTTACATTATTACACTTTCCATAATACTTTCCATTCCCAAGGTTACTTTATATTTCACAAATGCAAGCATGACAGTGCATACAGCCACAAGAAAAAAAAAAAAATTAAATGTTAGTACTTCTCTTTTTGTTTCTTTTTTCAAATTGTAATAAAAAGCCAAAGCCATGAAGTCTTTCCATGGTTCCAGAAAATTCCCAGTTTGGAAGAATCAAGGTGGAATTTACCTGTTTGCCAGCTGCCTATCTACAAAGCTCTGTCTTGACAAGAACCTTCCAGGTGAGCTGCCAGGGAGATTGAGCCCAGGGGCAGCCTCCTTTTCCTCAAGCACCCTGTCTTGACCAGAGTCACCAGAGGGGGATGTACTGTTCAAGCATCCACTGAAAAGTTATTTTGTCTCTGCTCATAGGCCAAAATCTTTCCTTGTGCTGTGATGTTATTACAGTCAAATCAGTACTGAATATTAAAAATATAGATTAATTAAACCCAAAATAGACATAAGGTTTTCATTTGGGGTTTTCCCCATCCTAGAGGGCATGTTTCTACAAGAAAAAATATGAATAGAAATCTCTGTCAGAGCCTGAGTCACTAGGACACTTTCTCACGCCAGGGCAACAGCACAATTACTGGGGTGCAGCATGTCTGAAAAGAAATAATTCCTGCTCCACAACTTGCACACCAAGTGTCAGGCTTGCTGTTATATCTGCTACTGGACAAGAAGCTAAGAGAATGCCTACCTTGTGGAGGGCAAAGTTTTCTCATCTTTGGGGTTAAAATAGCAAGGAGATTAAATCGACTTTTCCAAGACTCCAGGTTTTAAGTTGAGCTAACTTCAAAATTACCCTGCCTTCATGTTCTCAAAACCCTAAATTAGTCTAGTTTGGCTAAGAACTTCCTCTGCTCTTCCCCACCTTGACCCCCAGCAAACTTAATCTAAGTAGCCTTTGTTAATGTAAAGTTAAAGATTTCAACTCTTCCTGCCAACCTGCCTGACACAGAGTTTTGCAGAAATAAGGAATTTAGCTGGAGAGCCTTAGCAGAAAATAGCAGAAGAGCCATACTGTAGCTGTCTGAAGGTGTCCGGTCATCCACATCAATCAAAGTCCCCTCTGACCGGCTTCGTGGAATCTCTCCACTGCTTAGGGAATCTGTTCCACTACTGGAAGAGCTTTCCTCCTAGAAGACAGTTAAGCATAAAAAATATCAGCAAGCATGCAATTTGAAAAAGGGGAAACTGTTGAAGAGTAATTGAGCTTTGCTCCTGTAGTGTGACATGAAAAAAAAAAAGTTACAGAAGTTTCAAGCAAGCATTTAGTGTCCTACATGCTGAAATTACTGCATCCCAGAAAGAAGAAGGCTAGAGGAAATATAATATGAGAGATTTTTTTGTGGAAACACTCTTCAAGGTAATGCTAAAAAGCAAGACATCACCTAGTGAATTTCCCAGAATCCTCTCACACATACCATATGATTAACAGATACATTAAAATATCTGGGGAAAAAATGAGACAAACAAAGAAACAAGGAAGGGGGAGGAAGAGGGAAGAAAAAATCCAGAAGGTTTTGGGTCCATACATGGGATACCATAGTCAGCTTTTTCAGGAGTCTGATATATTGCAGCCTGTTACTCCTGCAGCAAACATCTCAGATCTCATTTTACCATGTTTAAAATTAGGAAAAAAAAAATAATTGGGCCTGTTTGCTGTTGTGGCTGTTAGAAAAAGGAATTTTCAGTTCCAGTTCTAGTAGGTGAGTTGTGGGAAAAGGAAGCATACTTTATATCCAAGCTTACTGCACAGAAAGCAGAAACCAGCTGGGTTTTTTTCATTGTACAATGCCATGGTTTAAGATATCTCTTTCTTTCACCACAAATGTAAATTGGTACTTTTTTTCTCATGCCACAAGAGGTGCCTTCAGATAATGGTGCTGTTTTTACACACGCAGCATGCAAGGTCAGGCAAAGCTCAACAGTCACCCAGCACCTCTGAGGGCTGTATGGACTTTCAGGTTCCTTTGTTACCAGAAATCTCTTTCATTTGGCCTTTGGAGCCCTGATTTTAGCTAGTAGGTAAAGCTAGCCTCCAATGCCAACACATTCTGGCTTCTGCTGCTGCTACCCCACCAGAGCAAAACTAGAAATTAAGATGCCTTCTTAATCCCAACACCATTGATTCCAAGATCTGGCATTCCATATCTGTATAAAGATATCACTGTTTCTTCTGTCTCTGATTGGTGAGTATATTTGATAAACATACAGACTCCTTCAAAGGTAATAAATTTTGCTTTGCTGCTACATCTCAAAATGCTGAGAAGCTGAACACATTGTATAAACACGCAAGATTTTTATCTCTGGCTTCTACATACACACGTTTTAATCATGCCAGCATAAGGTATCCATAGTCTAAAATCTCAATAAATGCACAAAAAGTAAGTCTTCATTTTACAGTACCAGTCACTTAGTGCTTGTTGCCAGCACTAATCTCTAACTGACAATTTACTGGTAATTCGGAGGAGAATTTAAGAACAGTTCTTTAAATAGTCAAAACACCTACAATTATTTCAGTAGCTGCATAAAGTGGGAGGCAGTAAATAAGGTTGAAGAAAGAGCACAAGAGTGCAAATGTACAGGGTCTAAAATAGGAAAACCAAGGAGAAGGGAGAAGAAGAGAGGAAGAGAGAAAGTAAAACAATCTCTTTACACAGGGGGATTATATTGAAAGAGACATGACAACAAGACTGCATGTGGAAGTTTTTTAAACAATAAGGACTTCTGCAAATAGAATAAACCATTTCCTAAACGTTCCCTCTGGGAATTCCTCAAAATGTTCATCACTAGCCTGGCATAGAGATAGAAAAGGCAGATACTGAAAAGGGAAACCACTTTCAAAAATAATCCTCCACCCCCATGAAAGCATTTCTTGGTATGACAGGATGATGAGGGATCCCTTGTGATTGAGACACGTCTGCAGGACAGCCAAGCAGAGGATGAGAGAAAAGGGGATATATAAACATGTCTGGGCAAAAGATGACCACATTTGGCCAGAATGTCAAGGGATGTGGGAAATGCTGGGGACAAGCTGTACACACACCCCTGGGTCCTGGGCAATGTGCCTCCTGCACAGGGTTACATGAGCTGACATCAGGGTTGGGTCTGACCTCTTCTCTGTTCCAGCCTGAGTGCTGGGAATGGCTAAAGCCCCAGTTTCTTTCTGTGAGACTAAAAAAATAAGAAAACCAAATCCTTACCAAATGCTTTTCCGTGGCTACATTCTGCGATAAAACAGCATCCCAAATTAAACTTTTGATAGCACAAACCTATTAACTAGGAACTTACCTGAACAAATCCTGAAGAACAATCATTCACAAGAGAAGTGAGATTGATGCATGTGGGATATACAGCCATACTGATCAACATTGAAAGGGAAAGGTATGAAAAGCTTTTTCTGCATAAAGAGGGAACTATGTATAGGAATAACCAGAGACCAAGCTTTTCATTTGCTGTAGCAACTGAATAGGAAAGATGTAAACTGACAAATGCTTAATGGTGCAAGGAATTATTTGACTGATGGCATGTCAGCTCACAGTGGGAAGTCAGGAGGGAATGAAGAAGTGAAGAGGTTGGAAAGAGATCAGCTGTGGAGGTGACCAGTGAGTGAACCTGAATGACTACTGAGAGATGTGGCACTTTTTGTATGAGGGCAAGCCACAGTTAGCCAGGTGCATTCTGCTGGGGTTTGCTTGACCCATAAGAGCATGTAACTCAGGACCCAGAGCACTGCTGGCAGCACTGTTACAGAAGAAGAAAAATGTACTCAATGCCCTAGAGGAAGAAGAAAGTGTTGGTTAGAAAGTTCAGTTTCACAGAAGTCAGGAGACAGATTTGCTACAGACAGAATTTTTACTGCATAAAATGCCTCCGGAAATTTCTTCCAGGTCTTTCAAAATTCAAGTGCACCTTTTTCTTTTTCCCAGTCTCACTACCAAAACACCACCATATCCTGCTGTGTCTAAAACACTGGTAATGAAGAAAATAAAAAAAGCCCAAAGGTGAACACTTTCCCACTGCCTTTGTCTTCAAAAATAAGAACATATTCTGTTGCGTTTTTAAGTATCAGCATCCCAGAGCAAAACAATAGAAATTTATATTCCATTTTACCTTAATGCTTCTGAAAAGGCAGTTTTGGTTAAGAAGAAAGCTCTCCTGTGGCCATGTCTCCCCATAGACTTCTACATGTTCCCCACACAGACAGTGCTACCTTATTCAGAAAGACTCATGGTCTTTGTATTAGCAGTGGCAGAGCAAGAAACAGACACAGGTGATGGTGATGTGTCTCATTCATCAGGCTCATTTTTGGTTACATGGTGAAAAATGACTTCCTACTTATATAGGTTGGGTTGTTAGACTTTCAAGTTTCTTTCTAAGAAAGAAGAAATGTAAATGCAGCAGAATGTTAAGTAAAATTCTCCTCATCTAACCAAATACTGAGTATACTGAAATATTGAAATTCTATTACATAGAGAGAAGAGCAGGAATTCTAAAGCGACAGCAATGCACAGAAGAGGGATTGTTTCAAAAAGACTGCACTTCAACAAACTTAAGCCACTGCCCATTCTCAGCAGAACAACATATATTTGAGTAAACATTAGCTACAGTAATAAGCCATATTTTAGCTGTCCCTTGGCTCTTGAGGCCTAGGACAGCTTTATGCAGTTCAGGGTTCAATGAGAGGCTCTTGGATGCAAGCTACTAACCTCTGATTACAGTGTACTGGGGTACTGTAGGCAGTGGCAGTACAGCACAGCAAATGGAACATTCAGCTGAAGTGAGGAAGCCTTTGACTTATTTTAGTCTGGTGCGTGTGAGGCAGTCAAGGAAATGCATCTGTATCTCACTTCTAACAGAGACAAAATTGGCTTTTAACGTTCAGCATTGAAACCCCTCAACCCCTAAAGTGCTAATATCCAGCTGCAATGATTTAGTATGACCCAATGTCTTGCCATTTTGACTGTAATTAAAGAAAGGAATTTTCAACAGATATATCTACTAGTTTACTCTGCTGTTAAATAGTTGCCAAGTTTGATACCTACTTTTTTGATGTTCTGAAAATTTATCACCCTGTGGGATCTGCAGAGCCATTCACACTGAAGGGCTTGGATTTTCTGCAGACCCAACATATGTCTGCATGGCTGCTTGGAACTGACACGATCACAGCTCGTAATACTTCACCCGAGCTGGAGCTAAAGGGTAGAGCTGGTACTCTCAGCACAACAAAAATGGGAATTGAAGTGGGTCATCCTCTCAGTAGATTTCCACTATTTTGCAGGTGGGTTTTTATAGCCTCTGCTCAGGTCTGCACAACCCAGAACTGACTGCTTTTCCACCTGTTTGGGGAACACTGTGCAAATAAAAGTAGCTGTACCACAGACACTCCTTCCACAAGGCAAGTATCCTTCCTTCCCTTACACACATCTACACTTCTGAAAATGCTTGTTACAAGCATAAGTGGTAGAGTGTTTACTTTCAATTATAAACTTCACGTTTGGGAATATTGCTCTCCAAAAGCCTCAGGAATGTGTATTCAAGTTTTGATGTTGTCTTTTAGGTTTTAGCTACTGCTCTGAAATACTCCACTGTTTCACTTAGGCCTCAGGAAAAAAGAAACTTGTTGCCTTCTACTTACTTCACTAAAAACTTTTTCAAGAACAGGAAACAGAAAGTAAAGATCTCACTAACAAAATAATTAAATGATCCAACTTTGACTGTGGAATTACAATATTTCTTCTTTTTCATGAACAGAGAAAACATTGGAAGTTTATCAGCCTAATTCTTCTGTGGATGTCCTTACACCTGTAAAAACAAATGTTAGAAACCACACTAGATTCTCACTTAGTGTGTATATTTGTGAATGCTCTAGAAGCACAGTTAGTTTCTTCTCTTTTGGTGGTTCTGTGAAACAGCTTTTGGTTCACAGAGCTTACAATACTAGTATTGTAATATTGTACTACTGGCTGAAGCCAACAGCTGTTCCTTCAAAGTGGATATTGAAAGTACTCTGTGAGGAACAGCTTTAATTTAGAAGTTTCACTACAATATAAAATTTCCATTTCTAGGTGCCACAAGTTGTTTCAGTGTCACCATAACTAATGCATTAAGCATTTCAGGACAAGGCAAAGCTTGTATCTACCATGTTCTGCATGTGAACTAGAGCCCTGCTGCTTTTCTTTAAGTACTTTTAAGTACTTTTGCTAGGATGACACAGAAACCTCAGCTATCAACATTTTTAATCAACCTAGAGAAGTGGGAGCTACCAGGATTCTCAAAATCTCTGCTAGCTATTTATATCCCTGTGAACTATAGCTGTGATCACAGGTTTTTAAGTACATGATACCTCCAAAGTACTATATTTCATTACCCTGATTTCTTCTTCTCTTTCCACTAAGACTTTTTCTCACATCTAGGCTGCCTGCAGGAATTACTCTCTTTAACTGAGCAGGTTTCCTGTCAGTGGCAAGTGGAGATAAAGGCTGAAACATCTGCCCACTAGCATGGCTTAGAGAGTGCTCCCAACCCTGCAGAGTATTTATTATGTCCTTCCCTGGGAAAGGCTCACGTCTGAATCTGTTAATGCCACAAGTCATCTTTGAGCAGGATAGATATGAGCTGAGGTCTTTGAGGGCAGGAAGCAGTGGTGGGGGACAGAAGTAGTGGTAGCACAAACTGAAATTTTTGTATGCCTCAGAGTCACTGGGGCATGACCAGAAAGGAAAAAAAAAAAGCTTCCTCTGCCCCAAAGGCTTGATTCTGGCAACACTCTTCCAGCTTTTCCAGTTATATATAGAAAATAGCACATCTACTATCCAGCCAGAAAGTAAGCAAAGGATCTATTTTCCAGACAATCAAACCCCAGTCAAGTAGTGAAGTAGTTCTTCAGCTCTTCCATAGAAATTGCCAATCAGGCACTTGTGAGTTACATGTTTCATAGAAATAATTACTTTTAAATTTAAGGGATGAGCACAGGCAGGGAAAAAATCCCTCTTGACTTTCAACATTTAAACGTTTCATCTGGCCCAATGATGGGATAAAAAAATCCTGCAAGAGCTGTGCTCTCCTCACAGCATGAGGGTAAAGCAGAATACATCAAGGAAGCCACCCACAGAGAAAGATCAGTGTTTTAGCCACTCACAGCTCTTAAAGCCCTTGAAATTATTATTGTAATTAATATTAACAACAGACTTTGAGCACCCAAATCATCTGGATAGGTTGCAAATATGTAGGGCGGTTTTTCTGCTATTTTAGTCTAAGAATGATATGACAAAGTGATGTGGCTGACACTATGTCAGGATCCAGTCTTGAACATCCAACTGTGGAACTAAATTTCCTGTCAGTGTGCTGCCTGGATAGCGACACTTTATTTTGGACAGGTGGAGATTAAAGATGCATGAGCAAAATACGCAATGGGAGCCTTGCAGGAAATTGAACCTGATATCCAGGCATGTAAAAGGTGCCTTGGGCTCCTGGTGCCCTGCTTTCAGCAAACTGAGGTGAGTGCCCAGAGAAGGATACAGGGGACACCACAATGTGCTGTGCCTTTGATGAAATGAGGTACTAGAAAAGCTTCTTTCCATGAGCATGACAGAATTCTGCCTTAACACAGTGGAAAAACATGTCAGAAAGTCTGTACTGCCAGGTGAACCTTTTTACATGGAACCACTTTGGTTTGATGTTGGTTAATTTGGATCGGGGACAAAAAAAAGCCCAACACACATACCAACCAAAAAATTAATTAACACAGTAACACACATGAAGAATTTGATTTACAAGGTTTAAATTAACTCAGGCAAGCTTTCAAAAAGTATAAACTAGCAAAAAAGATACCCCAGTTGTGTAGGGCAGGAATGGCATGGTGAAGAGGAGGGAGACATGACAATCACTTGTTCCATTTCCCTTGGAAAATATAGAGGAAGATAAATACTGAGATAGGAGCAACAATGAAAAACATGTGGCACATGAACAGCTCAACATGGAAAAAAATTAATAAAACAGGCAACAACCTATTTGGGAAAAATAATTATATTAAATATATTAGAAGAATGTAAATCCATTTGTAGAAGAATGTAAATCTGGTTATAATTAGAGGTCAGTTCAGAGAGTTAATAACTGCAAGTATGATCATTCTTCAATACATCCACAAGTTACACTTTGTTCTACTTGACTGACCACATAAGACACAAGGAGCAGGTACCAGCACAAATAGTATGTTTGATAGATTGCAATAATATTCACAGGGAAAAACTGTTACCTATTTCTTGTGTATTGATCTGTTTTGACTGAAGGACTTGTTTAATAATCCTTAACACTTTAGGAACATGGCAAAAAGAGCATCAGAGAGGGAGTCTTAATCA